AAAAAAGAAATTTACTGGTCCAAGGTGGTAAATGTTTTTGTGCACCAAGAAACAAATCACTTACACATACACTTAAACTAAACACAAGAGCATCTTGAAAACACAGGCTTTTAAAGCCTATTCCTGTAAACAGGTAATGCCTGGACCATAAGGTACTGATCTCTCCTCTCTGGCAATAGTGACAGGACCTGACGGAAAGGCACGGAGCTGATTCAGGGAAGGGTCAGGCAAAGGTCAGGCAAAGACTCTTCCCCAAAGGGCAGTCAAGCCCTGGGTGCCAGGTTGACCTCAGCTAGCCTCTGTGTTTCTACCATCATACATCTGTTCCTCAGCATTACAGGAGAAAAAAAAATAGATGCAATAATTCATAAGTTGAGATAAGAACAGAGGAACTCAACTGCTACTGTCACTAGACTCAACTCAGGGAAGACTAATTTATTACCAATCCATAACAGTGTAGGGCAGTAAGAACTGCAAGTAGGAACATCTTCCTCAGCCTTCCCCTTTAATACCGTGCTCAATATCACACCCACTCGTCCTTCTTCTCCCTGATCTGGAGCTTCATGGCAGGATGGGAAACGCTGTGTGATCAGTCAGTTCATAGTGCTTTATCTGCACTGTTTCTTACTAGAAAAACATGGTGTAGTAGCCAACTTGGTGAGATGATTCCCATGACAGGAGCTTGACTATCAACACCTACAAGCTGCTCAAAAGGGACAGGTGAGGAGAGAGAAGAGGGGGTGTTGCCTCCTACATCTCCTGGAAAAGTAACACGGAGGCTCCTGGAATGTACAGAGGATAACTTCCTGAGCCAGCTAACAGACATCACACCCAGTGCAGTGATCAATGGCTCAGTGTTTAGATGAAGATCAGTGATGAATGTTCCTCAGAGATCAGTGCTAGCACAAATGCTCTTTAATATCTTCATCAGTGACGTCAACAGTGGGATCGAGTGCATCCTCAGCGTTTGCAGATAACACCAAGTGGCTGACATGTCTGAGGGACAGAATGCCACCAAGACAGATCTAGAAAGGTTGAAGCAGTTGAGTTCAGGAATACCTCATGAGGTTCAACCAATCCAAGAGCAAGGCTTTGTACCTAGGTCACGGCAACCCTCACTACCAGTACAAGCTGGGAACTAAAAGAATTGAGAGCAGCCCTTCCAAAAAGGACCTGGATGGCAAGCTGGACATGAATAAGCAATGTACCCTCACAGCCCAGAAAGCCAACCATATCCTGGGCTGCATCAAAAGAACCACAGTAAGCAAGGTGAAAAAGGTATCCTGCCCCTATTCTCTGCTCTGGTGAGACCTCACCTGGAGGAGTACTGTGTCTAAATGGGGAGTCCTCAGTACAAGAGAGACATGGATCTATTAGAGCATGTCCACATCAGGGCCACAAAAACGATTCAAGGGATGGAACGTCTCCCCTGTGAGGACAGGCTGAGAGGGCAGGTGCTCTTCAGCCTGGACAAGAGAAAGCTCCAGGGAGACCTGATAGCAGCCTTTCAGTATGTAAACGGGTGCTATAGCAAAGAAGGGGACAGACTCTTTAGCAGGCTTACAGGACAAAGAGAGATGGTTTCAAGCTAAAATGGGAGATGTAGACTGGATATAAAGAAAAAGGTTTTCATGACAAAGTTAGTGAAGTACTGGCACTGGTTGCCCAGAGAGGTGGTGAATACCTGTCCTTTGAAACATTCAGGGTCAGACTAGACAGGTCTTTGAGCAACCTGATCAAGATGTAGATGTCCCTGTTCATTGCTGCAGAGTTGGACTAGATGGCCTGTAAAGGTCTCTTTCACTTCAAGTGATTCTGTGGTTCCTCATCATAATTGTTCTAGCGTGGGGTCCACCTCAAAGGCTGTAGCTCTCTAAACACTGCTCCAACAGTTACATACTACAGGGCTCATCCTTAGCAGATACCTGCCCAAGACATCCTGCCCCACCACAGGCTCCCAGGGTCTGTTCCTGTAGGGGCTCTCCAGTGGCTTCCAGCCTCTTTCAGGCCTCATCTACCTGCTTCACCATGGCTCTTGCATGGCTGCTCCCCATGGTGCCTGTGGGCTGCTGGGGGACAACTTGTTTCACTACAAGCCTCTCCTAGGCTGCAGGGAACTTCTGCTCCGCATCAGGAGCATCTCCTGACCTCCTTCTGCACTGACTTTGGTGCCTGCAGGGCTGCTTCTCTCCCATATCTCACTCCCATCTCCTAGCTGCTGGTGTACAGCAGCATTTCCCTTTCTTAGATCTCTTCTTCCAGAGCACAGCCAGCATCACTCATGGCTCAGCTCTGGCCACTAGCGGGCCCCTTCTGGAGCAGCTGGAGCTGCTTTGCTCTGACATGTGCTGGGCTCTGCTCATAAAGGTCACCTCTATGCCCTTCCCAGATACCAACACCTGGTCACTTACAGCCAGATATGACTGTGTCCACTTTCACTTCCACTTTTCCCATGGAAGGATCTCAGAAACAGGAAAAAATAAAACCACAAGATTTTGCTGGCTGACTCAAAGCACATCTGACCCCAGAAGTGACTGTCACCAACACAATCAAATCTGAAGTAGAAGCTGTAAATTTGTAGTATTTCCAGTGCCACATCACTCTAAACCTCAACAGAGCTGAGTACTTGTATTGGACAAGGTTTGAATTTAAACCTGCTTACTTTTGTCATAAAAGCGACATTCCTCACACATAGGGTATGTTTTGGCATGACATATTTTGCTTACTAAAAATCAATCTGAAGTAATTATTTTTCCTTTGCTCTCAAAAAGGAAAACTTTACTCAGTATTTCACACACCAAGATGCTACTCTTGGTTAAGCATCAGTTGTTTGTTTTTGTTTTTGTTTTTTTTTATTATGCATATACATAACAACACATAACCTTACATTTACAATTGTTTTCCTTCCAAAGAGGAAATATTCCCATCTGCTTTGCAGAATCAGTGAAACAACTCAGCACAGTGCCTCTTCTTCCAACTCATAAGCATCTACATAACCAAGATGAAGCTGATTTTCTCTATGGAATCCCAGAGGGAATGAAAGCCCCAGCATTAATAGTTCAGGAACTTACAGAAATTACTGCAAAATTCCAGAACAAACAAGGCTTAACTTTCCTCTACATTAGCACCTAGAAGACAACACTTCAGTTTCAAACACAAAACAGTAACCTTCCTAACTGTTCTGGTTTCAGCTGGAACAGAGTTGATTTTCTTCATAGAGCCTAGTGTGATGTTTTGGAGTCAGGAGAAAAATCAGTGTTGAGAATATACTAGTGTTTTTGTTGCTGTGGTGCTGCACAGATCCAAAGACATTTCAGGTTCCTGTGCTAGCAATACTATTCCAAGCACAACTCCCAACTACACAGAAAATTATGAGAGTATATGAGAAGTTCTTTCTGCAGCTCTTGTGACGACAGGCTTTCATTTATTTTATTTGTTCTTTCCAGAGTACTACTCAGAAATCCAACACCAGTCTGTTTTCACTTGGTTTAGAAGCTATATAGTTTCCTTTAGAATATACAGCTATCAAGATATGCATGATGAAGACAGTAAGTCTGATGGCTGCTGGAATACATCCTAGAGAAGCTAAGAAAAAGCAAGCTGTCTTGCTCTGCTTAGACGGCGTGTTTTTGTAAGGGCCAAGTACAGAACAATGCCTTTCTACCTTTCTGGAATCAATCATAAAGAACATGTAAACTGTGCTAACTGTTCTGAGGGGAAAAAAAAAAAACAAAAAACCACAAATGTAATGAAGAAATATAGTTATAACGCATATACTTTCTGAGTAATCACACATTCGAGGCTTGCCCGGGAGTTTAAGCATGTTGTTCAGAGTTTGAGTACGCAAGGACAAAACCCAGCAACAAAGACTTCTTGGTGTGGTGTTAATCCTAAAAGGATATAAAGTTACGCAAGCAGTTTCAATGAGAAACAGAGGCAGTTTGGTGGCACCGAACGATTTTAAGGATCTCTCAGGAACGCACAAGAAACGTTTAGTGAAAACGGGATGCAGAGAACTCAGCAGCAGAACGGCGCCCGTTTGCACACGGGACGAAGACTCCCACGAGAACCCCACAGGACTAGCAGGTGCCGATGCCGCTATTCCCGCCGGGCAGCACCACGAGGATCCGCCAAAGGCCGCTTTACAGCGCTGAGCCCGCTCAAGTCCCGCCCGCTCCTCCCGCCCACCGCCGCGCTCACCGCACAGTCCGGATCACGAAGTAGACGATGAGCGCGGCGCTGGCCAGCACGAGCACGGACAGGGCGCGCTGCGTCATGGGCTGGCCCTGCTCCGGCGGCACCGACACCTCCGCCAGCCGCCCGCCGCTGCTCCGCGTCGCGCCGCCCGCCGTCTCCGTGGGCTGCGGGGAGACGAAGGGGCCGCCGAGCAGAGCCACCGCGGCCTCTCCGCAGCGCGCCGCCAGCACCAGCCCCGCCAGCAGCCAGGGAGGCGGCGGCCACATACTGCCCGCTCGCCCCGCCAGCGCACGCCGTTCTCACCCGCCGCCGGCCGCGGCCTAAGCGCGGCCGGGCCTCGCCGCCCGGCCCCGGAAGCGGAAGTGCCCGTTGCCAGGTGGCCACCGCCACTGCCGCTATGAAGAGTGCCGGCGGGGCGCGCGTCGCTCCCGGTGCGGTCACGTGACTCACAACAGGCGAGGTGCGGGGCTGGCCGTGCGGGAGCTGAAGGCGGTGTGTGCGCATTGTGCGTGGGGAGCGCCTCGGAAACCTGTCCAGTGCGTTTCTGTTGTGATCAAACAGGAAGCAAATGTGACTGGATTGTTTACAACCAGAGCCCGTAGAACAATCAGCAGTTTACAAACACAGGTGGTTACAGCTATGTACAGACTGAATCCACCGTGTTTATGGTGCTCGTGTCAGTCGCACCTCTTCAGCGCGACTGCTTCGGTCAGTCCTGTTTGTTAGGTCGATTCTTCAGTCCTCGCCGCCTGTTACTAGGTGTTTGCCGTAGTGCAGAAGGAAGGGGATGAAATATGGACGTAGACAAATAGCCTTATCAGTTACATTTCTGCAGCTGAAATATCACTAACAAGGGGGTAAACAGATTTTCAATAAAGGCAGGCTTGTTTTAATATCCAAGAATACTACTAGTGATAGTTAAGTGGGAAAATAAGTTCATGTTCTGACAGACATATGGTGAGAATTTGGCATTGAAAAGTGTAACTACTGAAAATAGAATGTGTGCCTTTTACCATTACTTTTATGCCTTTTCTTTTTTATGTAAAAGTTACTGGTTACTGCCCTGCTTTGGAGGAACAGTTTTTACTAAAGGTGCTGAAAGGAGCACGTGTTTGAACTTTCATGATAACTTTTTCCACTGTTTGTTATTTGAATAGAACTTTCCTGATTGAAGCTTTTAGGAAGCCTCTCCAAACCCAATATCTGTCATAATTCCTCATCCTAGTCCCCTTGAGATGTGTTTCTTCCTAGTAACACACTTCAGCCCATTGGGAACATTAGTCATTCGTTCGGTCAACAGTTTTAAGGACGTGTGGCTGTGTGGGTGCTGTCTGCTGTGCAGTGCTGTATGCTGTGCGGTGCTGGGATACTTGCTGAAGGGAATATGGTGGTATATTTCATGGCAAACTGCATATCATACTCAATTTATGAGAAGAAACTGGGGAATATCTTGTTCAGTATCTCTTTAGTACTCTCTTTTTTTCAATATATGTGTTTTCAAAGCTATTCTGTGAAAGTAGGGGAGCCCGGTGTTGTATGGCCAGTGAATTTTTGTTGTTGTTGTTATTAAATTAGAAGATAATTAGAAGTTAAAATATATGCACTTTTATTATTATTATTATTGTTATTATTATTATTATTATTTTATTTTAAATCATTGAAATCGGTAGGTTTGTTCAGGATTCATTTGTGGCATAAAGACGTCAAGTTTATAAATCATTTGCTTTCAGAAGAATGTAAGATCATTCTTTGTTGAAATATATTGTGTATTAAATGTGTCTCGACTTTGAACATACATAGGAAAATTGTTTTGACAGCCTTTTTTAAGCTTTCTAAGCGTACCTGCTTTGAGTAATTACTGCTTAATTTATTTTTTACAACCAAAGAAAGAAAAAATTAAGTACAAATGATGACACTCCGTGATCATCCTTACAACAGCTTTTGAAAGAAATGTCATTCTGTGTGTAAGTGCTGGAACTTTTCTCACCTATAACAAAAAGGAAAAACTTTCATATCTTACATCCAAAAGGTGACAGAACTTGAGTACCACTGAAAGACTCTGAGACTGCTAAATTGTCCATTAAAATTAATGGAGCTTACTTGACTTCCACCCCTGAGTAAAGCAAAATTGGGTAATTTTTTGAATTCTTTGAAATAGGCCTTGCACATGAATTGAAAGAGCAGAGAAATTACTTTGCAAGAGTATGTGAGTGTCATGCATGTCTGGGAAGGAGCCTTTTCATCACAGAATGAAATGATAACTTGGAGAAGGGCACTTAGGAGTTCTGTATATTCTTTTTTTTTTTTTTTTTTTTTTTTTTTTTTTCCAGTTCTGCCTGAACTGCTCTGTGTGTGTCCCGATACTTTTGGAGACAAAGGGCACAGTACAGAACACATCTATTTCCTTTTCCTTATGCTCTTTCAGTCTGTAGATTTCATCCTTGATGAAGTTCTTTAGGAACAACTTTCAGGTGACAATGAGAAATAAGAACCCTAAAATGACACTCCACACTATGTGCTTCTCTGCTTTGATGGGATGCTACTGAGATGCAAACTGTCTTTTGTTCCCCTGAAAACACCTAAATAACACTATTGTATTCAATAGATCTCCAAATGCCATTTACTCTACCTAATGGCGTTGCCTGAAAATATTTCTGCTTGCCCTTGTGTAAATCAGTAAACTTTTTGAACAAGGTACAATAACAACAAAAAGAGAGTATGACCTTTTAGGGACTCCTCCTCCTGATAATACGGAAATAAAGTAACTATGAAATATGAGGTGTGTTTGCATGCTGGCATTCTTCCTTGCAAAAGTGTTAATAATTTCAGTATGTTGTTTCGGTGGAGAAGTATACCATATAGGTTTTCAGTGCATTCCTGAAAGATGAATGTCATTAACTGTCCAAAAAACCCACAGCCATCTCAGAACAAAACCAAAATGTCAATTCTGTTGTAAACATCTCTGAAAAAGGCTTGTTTTAGAAACAACGAAAGTACAATAGATAAAACAGTTATAGGAATCCATGTTTCCCTCTGTAAAACTGTAGAATTATAGCACAGTTTTCTGCTTTGGACTGGGCTGTTAACAGAGTGTGAATTAAATCACAGAAGCCTGCATTCTCAGTGTTATACACACGTAATTTGCATTTAAACTCATAAGATTAGATGCAACTTTGAAGATGTGCAGAGCAGAGTCCATTATCAGATTTTACTGTAATCCTGAAGCAGATGGTGACATTAAAAGAATAGTCTGTTTAAAACCTAACTGGTTTTCAATATAAAAATGAGTTAGAAATGTTTTCAAATTCAGCCTACATCCATGAATCAGGGTGCCAAAAAGCATAGCTTCGTAATTGTACTTTAAGAAATGTTTTTATCTTTCCTTTCGCTTTGTCTTCAAAGACACAATGAATGGAAGAGAGAAGTGAAGAGCCGGCCATATTGGGTTAGTAATTGAATACTATTTAAATAAAATGAAAAACACTTTTTGTTTATAACAGTTGTCATTTGTTATTGTTAAATATTTGGAAGTGTTACTTGTAAAAATATTAGTGGCAGAAATTGAATATTTAAGCAGTAATTATTTTTTAGTAATACAAGTTTAGCAAAGGAAAGTATGATGTATGTCATGCCCAAGCAAGATACATACAGAAATTAAAGTCCTAAAGAGGGCAGACAGTTTCATAATAGAGCCTGTCTAGACATTACACCAAGATTCAGATGTACTTTAGAACAGGGTTTTTATGGAGATAAACCAGTTAGAATATCTTTCACATTTGCATTGTGTTCTTTCACTTGATGGTATTAGAACAGAAAAAAGGCTATAATTGCCATAACTAATACCTAAGTAAAATTCAGTCTAAAATTATGTGATTAAGTGTTGTAATACTATTCTAATTTGTTATAGGAAGTAATTTGTTAAAATGAGCTTTCTTTTATATGTCAGTCCTTTTTATCATTAACAGCTTTTCCAATATGAAAGATTCAAGAGCGGCTTTTGGGGATTTTTCTTACCCTTTTATGTACAGGTTCCTTGCAGACAAATTTAAAGTGTGTCTGATGACAGATGACATTACCAAATTAGGTTTTTAGAATCATAACACCCATCTTTTCCACCTAAAGTAGATTTGCAGAGTACTTGCAAAGGGGGAAAAAAAAGAGGAAATTCAAAATATAGTCTCTTATGTGCAATCTTATTCCAAAAAGTGCCTCAGAGAAAGGTGGAAAATACTTTTAAAATTATAATGTCTTTGTAATCTTTTAATGTCACTGGAAAATACTAGTTCATATATTTTAATCCAATACTTTACTATGGAAAATGCAAGTTGCAACTTTCTAACAATTATCTGCCACATTTAACTGAACGTTGTAAAGTCTATCTATTTCTCTGTAAGACATCATACTATATATAAGAGGAGATTTAGGAGTGAAGGGAGAGAGATGTGAGTTCTCTCCATAACTGGAAGCAATGCAAAAAACATATTCACTGTTAGTGATGCCTGTAGTAGAATTGTTTTTCAAACTATATACATTGTTACATTTTACATCCTTATTTTGTGGGAGGAATGCCTGCCTTTGTGAGAAACTTGTGATTATATATACAATGTCTGTATCATTATTCACAATAGATGTTTCATAATATATCTAATTTAAAAATGTAATTAAAAGCTTGTCTTTCACAATGAAAACTTTGATTAAGAAAGTAGGGGAAGAATTGTATGCTAAAAAGAATTTAGTTTTTGTTGCAGAAAGCAAGAGCCTGCTAGAAGCCAATGTAACTGACCATCAAAGTTTGTTAGTGTACAGACTTGTGCAGTCGGTTTTTGGGTTAGAATGAGAGACAAATCCTCACTGTTGCAGCTTCACTGACCTGCAGAAAAGATAAGGAGGGCAGGAGAGCAAAGGGGATGAGGGGCTGCTCCTCACCCCGCTGCTGCAGCAGCAGGGGTCACGCTAGGAGAAGAAGAGAGGCCACGGTCACTTGCTGAGCCCGCCAGCGGAGGAACAAGTGCCCGGGTCCCTCAGGAAGGAAACCCTCCCAGCTGGGCCGCCCAGGCTGAGGCGTCCCCTTACCGGTTCCCTTTGCTGCTGCGGCCTCCTGGGTGCCCCGGCTGCCTGAGCCAGGCAGGGCGGGGAAGAAGCTCTAGTGGCTCTGGGGACGAGCACTGAGAGCGGCTGTCGGCAGCTCCCAGAGCACGAGACCAGCACCAAGGCTATCCTTGCTCCTCGCTCCAAACCTCACGGACACGCTCGGCTGGAGTGCGGGCACAAGCCAGAGTGAGAGACTCTGTGCCCGGCTACAGGCAGCCAGGGCCAAGAGGTCACAATCCCCTGCTGCGTATCTCACTCTCCCTCACGTAGGGATTTTATTGTTGAGAACATCGCAATGAGCGGTTGTCATTCTGACTCCAGAAAATGCATTGGATTTTCCACAGTGCCTCTGTCCAGTCCATTCCCCACACTGTGTACAGTTGGTGTTAGCATTTTTGCAGCAGTGTCTGAGGCTTTGACTGAGTCTTCCCACGTCGCCCCAGCCATGACAAATCTCCAGATCCGTACAGCACTGGGATGCCTTCAACAAAATCCATGTCTGCCTTTGGGGCAGCAGGACATGAGCTTACTAAATCTCCCCACACACCAGCACTGCTGCCCTGTCCTCTGCATGCATTGGTTTCTTTCACACCAGGTCAAAGACAGCCTGTGACTTGCTCTCGGGGATTTTCTGCTGTCTTCCTCCCTTAGTCGGTGGCAGCAGCACTGATCTTTTCTGCTCAGCACCCACCAAGCCTAATCCAGGTTCTGCCTCCTTTCTGGGGCCAGAGACCGGACTGACACCAGAAAGCCAGAACCAACCAGTTGTTGGTTACTACTGAGACACTGGAGCACTAGTCCTGTGAGAAAAGCCTGAACCAGATCTGGTTCAGCATGTAGCAGAAAAAGGGGACAGAGCGTTGGCATCAACTGGAGTTGTGAGGTTCAGGCTGGAGACAAAGAACGATTATGATGAAGCACATTAAACACCAGCAATATGTGGGATCTGTAAGTCAAGGTTTTGAAGAGCTGAGTGGGTACAACACAGTCACAACTGTCACAAACCCTTTTACATACAGTCAAGTCCAGAAAGAGAAAGCAATGCCAGTATAAAATGTAGCAGTGACATCCTCATTTGCAACATCTAGAAATTGCAATATGAGAAATCCACCTTCTTCATTTAGTTCATCAACTTACAAGAGGATGTCCTGATTTCATTATTAGCAACCTTTGTCATAGCAGGGGGTTGAAAATAGATGATCTTTAAAATCCCTTTCATTCTAAGCTTTTTCATGATTCTACAATTGTATTAGCCTTGTGCGTCCTTTCCAACTCAGGATATTCTGTGGTTCTGTGTTTCTGTCACAAGCTGGTAAGCTAAGATGGGAGAGTATCCCTTTTTCTAAGAGTAGAAGTCTACTCAGAAGACAAATCTAAGTATGAAATCAAGTTCAGTCTTTTTCATTAAAGGGTTATTTGATCTTCAGTACTTTGCTTCGTTTTAAAGGTTGTAGTTTTGAATCTAAGTTCTTGATGATTGCCCGCACAGACATTATAAACAATGGATATATGTGTTAAAGGAGACTGGGAGAAGAATATACTTGGCTCAGGAAATGTCGAGAAGGCAGAGATACTGCTCGCCTTCCTTGCTTCTGTCTTCACAGATTCCCCCTTGGGAATCCTGGACCCTGGAGGTAAGTGAGAGAGTTTGGGGAATTGAAGGCTTCCCTTTGGTGAGGAAGGAGATAGTCCAAGAGCATCAGTGTACATAAATCCTTGGGTCCTGATGAAATGCATCCATATGTGCTGAGGGAGTTGGCAGAGATGATTGCTGAATCACTATCATCTTTGAGAGGTCTTGGAGAATGGAAGAGGTGCCTGAAGACTGGAGGATAGCCAATGTCACTCCAGTCTTCAAAAAGGGTAAGAAGGAGGATATGGGAAAATACAGGCCACTCCACCTCATCTCCATTCCTGGAAAGGTGATGGAGCAACTCTGGATGCCATCTCCAGGAAATTGGAAGAGAATAAGGTTATCAGGAATAGTCATTATGGGTTCACCAGGGACAGATCATACTCAACCAATCTGGTAGCCTTCTGTGATGTCATCACTGGCTGGGTGGTTCAGGGGAGAGCAGTGGATGTAGTCTACTTTAATTTCAGCAAGGCGTTTGGTACTGTCTTTCACATCATCCTTATAACAAAGCTGAAAAAGTGTGGGATAGATGAGTGGATAGTGAGGTGGGTTGAGAACTGGCTGACTGGCAGAGCTCAGAGGGTTGCGATCAGTGATGCAAAGTTCAGCTGGAGACCTTTATTAGAAGTGTTCCCCAGAGGTTGGTGCTGGCTCCAGACTTGTTTAACATCTTCATCAGAGACCTTGATGAGGGGATAGTGGCCACCCTCAGCAAGTTTGCTGATGATACGAAGTTGGGAGGATTGGCTGACACACCTGAAGGCTGTGCTGCCATTCAGTGAGACCTGGATGGACTGGAGAGTTGGGCAGACAGGAACTGGATGAGGTTTAACAAAAACAAGTAGAGTTGTTTACGTACGGAGGAATAACCACATGCACCAGTACAGGCTGGGGGATGACTAAAGGAGCTCTGCAGAGAGGAATCTGGGTGTCCTGCTGGACAACAGGTTGGCCAGGAGCCAGCAGGGTGCCCTGGTGTCCAGGAACGCCAGAGGCATCCTGGGGTGCATTAAAAAGATTAAAAGATTAAATCCTGGGGTGCCAGCAGGTCAAAGGAAGTGATCCTCCTCCTCTACTCTTACCTTTGAGGCCTCACCTGGAGTATTGTGTCCAGATCTGGGCTTTCCAGTACAAAAAAGGCAGGGATCTCCTGGAGAGAGTCCAGTGGAGGGCCACAAAGATGAAGGCCTGAAGCACCTCTCTTGTGGCGAAAGGCTGAGCGATCTGGGTCTGTTAAGAAAAGACTAATAGGGGATCTGATTAATGTCTATAAATAAGGTGTGAGAGGCAAAGGGATGAGGCCAGACTCTTTTCAGCAGTGCGTGTGTAGGACAAGGGGAAGCAGCCACAAACTGAAGCGCAGGAAGTTACACACAAGTGTGCTTAAGAACTTCACAGTGAAGGTGAGAGAGCACTGGAACAGGCTGCCCAGAGAGGTTGTAGAGTCTCCTTCTCTGGAGATACTCAAGACCCACCTGGATGCCTACCTGTGCAACCTGGTCTAGGGAGCCTGCTTTGACAGGGGGGTTGGACTTGATCTCTAGAGGTCCTTTTCAGCCCCAACAATTCTGTGATTCCGTGTGATTCTGTGATTTCTCTGACTTCTCCAGATGGAATAAAGCAACTTTTACATCTGTATTGAATACACATTTTTACCCCGTTGATTTTTGACTGAGAAAACTTGTAGCATTAAAAAAATCTAAATTTTAGGGCTGGGATGCAGCTCTCTTCTGCTCTGGAAAATGCCAAAACACTTCCTGAAACATTCCCTGAATATACAAAGAGAAACCAACTGTTCTCAGGAAACTCAGACAGTAACCAAGGTAGCGAGGAATGGATTTGTTTACATTTATATTGCTTGTATTCACTAGCCCAAACAAGCCAGCCCAAATTCCATAAGGAATCTAGAATTAGCCATCTTTCCCTACTTGCATAAGGGGAGCAACTTGGAGTGTTTGCTGAATACAAACAGGCTTTTAGACAGAGTTTAGTAGCTTGAATTACAGGCAATAGACGTTAGAGGTCATGATGGAAGGAAAGTACAGCATGACCTCTACAGGACAGGACATGACAGGACAGGTGAGAGGGGAGAGAAGGAAAAGGAAAGGGAAAGGGAAAGGGAAAGGGAAAGGGAAAGGGAAAGGGAAAGGGAAAGGGAAAGGG